ACATTGGGCATTAGGTTTTAAACATACGACTTTCAGGAGGAAGGAAAAGTCGTAATCCTTTCGTTTACTGCATCGTGTGAGACAACACACTCACAGGTTGTAGTGATTAGTACATATTTGGGGACCATTATTCTGCCTACCACAGCCAGCAAAAATAAAAATCTATTGTGCAATAAATAAATATTTGGTCAAAACATTGTCTTTAAGGAGGAACTTTTCAATTATTTACAGGATTCTCAGATAAAATACAGCATGTCCAGTTAAACTTAAATTTCAGATAACCATGACTAGTCCTTAAGAATGTGTGTGTCCCAAATATTGTAAGGGATATATTATGCCAAAAAATTAGTGATCCTATATCAGAAATTCACATTCAACTGGTGGTCCTATATTTTAACTTAACTATGTCTGTCAACACTAGTGATTTAGCAAGAGTAAAAGCAGACACGTGCTTATTTGAAGTTGTCCATTTGTGAAAGCAAAAGTAAGAAAACAATATTTAAGGTTATATCACAGGTCTCTTTTTAAAAGAGGTGCTATTGTTCCTTAATGTATCTCCACCTCCAAATTGTCCTACAGTTAGATCTTTTTATATTTCTTCAGTGGTTTGTCATTATCTTTGTTTGAGCAAGGCTTTGTTTGAAAGTATTATCTTTAAAGCAAGTACTCCTACATCTTAAATTCATTCAGGGGCAGGTATTAAGATGAACAATCCTATAATCCCAAGAGGGCTGGGAGACCTGCAACGTAGCTGACAATACCCACGTTTGTATAGGTCTTCGTTAGGAATTTAACAATATCTAATGGCAACTCCAGAACTGAGAATACAATATCTAAACTTACAATCACAATGGATGGTTTAACAGCAGACTGGCCCTAGCAGGAGGGGATCTGAGGGTTAGACTACAGATCAACGTAAAATTTACAGATCAAAGCACAGAGAAGGAAAATCATGGAAAATGCAGAAAATAGCATAAAATACATATGAGAGCACAGTAAGAGGTGTAATATATATGCAATTCTATTCCCAGGAGGAGAGGAGACAAAGGATACACAGCAGGAATTCTTGAGATCACGTCTGGAGATGTTCTAAAACCAATGACAGACATTAACTTATAGATTGAAAAAGCTCTGCAAAATACAAAGAAGACAAAAGAAAGAAACAAAGAAAACTGTACCTAGAGTTATCAGAGAAAAACCCTGTTCCTTGGAGAATCTCCTCCTCTGGTTTCGACATAGTTGGAGTAAAGATTATGTGCTAATATTGTTGGAGTTAGGCAGATGAACTCAATAAAAATAATGAACTAGGTGCAAGGCGTAACATACAATTCTCTCTTTTTTCTCTCATGATCCAAGCATAATAGGATAGGTAGGATTTTCTTCTTTTAAGTTGTAAGTTAGCAGGTTTAAAGAGTGAGAGTAAGATGCAAGTTGGCTTGGTCCAGAAGCAGTCTGCTAATGCCCCAAATTCTGAGGTTATCCTGGTTGTTTTTGTTTTGGGTTCTTAGGTTTTTTTCATGAGGAAGAGTTGTGCTGAGCTAAAATCCGTGGCCAGTTTTCCTCTTTTTGCTTAAGGAAGATTGTCACTGAGCTAAATGTGTGCCAGTCTTCCGCTATTTTGTATGTGGGATGCTGCCACAGCATGGCTTGATGAGCGGTGTGTAAGTCTGTGCCCAGCATCTGAACCCATGAACCCTGGCCCAACAAAGCAGAATGTGTGAACTTGACCATTACGACACTGGGCCAGCCCCAATTATCCAGGTTTTTAATATCCAAATTAAGTAATTCCAGCTCCCATCCCTTATAAACTCAGGCAAATACTCAAATGATTCTCAGGATTCCCAGTTGGTGCTTATGCTCATGATATTTTGTCCAAACGTCCACTTTCAGCTTTTCCAAACCTTCTCTGGCTGATTTCACCTCACTTCCTGTGGCAACTGCCCTCTTGATTCTGGAGGGGATCAGAATTGGCCACCCCAAAAATGTGTTTCTTTGCTGGATTTTCTTTTTTACTTTACTTTTCTGTTTTCCTTTTCTTTTTTTTTTGCTGAAGACGACTCACTCTGAGCTAACATCTATTGCCAATCTTCCTCTTTTTGTATGTGAGCTGCTGCCACAGCATAGTCAATTTTAGATGACTGGTGTAGTTCAATGCCAATGACAGAACCCAGGCAGCAGAAGCAGAGCATGCCAAATTAACCACTAGGCAACTGGGATTGGCCCTGCCTTGATTATTTTGAAGAACAAGATACTGAAAGAAACTTTGACCTTCCCCCTAACTGCCTAAAAGAATTTAAGATTTCAGGCCTGTTTCAAGAAGGAGCAAGTACTATCAGACAACATTGTCTACAGATGGCCCAGCAAACACTGGTTTCACAAACATTTGCATTTCTATCTCCATGTAAATTGCTTTCCTCCCCTTTAAGCCCCAAAACGCTACCCTCAATATCCTCCTTTGCCTTGGCTGAAAATGGTATTTATCGGGTCAGCTTGGCCATTCTGTGAATTACTCAGTTTTCCTGGGTTTCCCCCATGTACACATGTTATAAAGCATAGTTTGATTTTCTCCTATTGTGTCTCATGTCCATTTAATTCTTAGAGCAGCCAGAAGGACCTAGAAGGAAGAGGGATTATGTTCCTCCCCTACACTTCATACCTTTGTGCCAAGCATGATTGAGGATCTCCCCCATTTCCCATGATTTCCTAATCAGAAAGCCATTGAGTGAAACAACAAGAGTTGAAGGTAATGAAATATGGTTATCACATACAAGTGTATGTTAGAAAACAAAAGTGAAAATCAGAATACACTTGTGAAACAGAATAAAGGTAATCTCATTTAAAATGAAGTTTGGGGTTGGCAGCTAGACTTTTGGTGGTGAAGATGATGCCGTCTATACAGAAGTTGAAATATAGTGATCTATACCTGAAATTTAAACAATATGATAAATCAATGCGATCTCAAGAATAAAAAACAAAGGAAAAGAAAAAGAAAATGAGGCTGGGGGGCCAGAAGGGACAGCTCTCACACACTACTGCTCAAATCAATTACAGGAAGAAACATCAGTGACAGACTCAAAAGGAAGACATGTATATTACGTCCCGACAAGAAATGGTCCACCTCAGTGACTCAGCCAATGACACTCCTCACTGCCCTGAACTCTCGCTTTCCACCAATGGACTTTTGTTCAATGCAACCCCTCATAACTTCCTATTTTTTCTCTGTAAAGTAATATTTCTCTCCTTTGTTTGCTGGACTTGCTTATGGCTTTTGCTATAGCTTGCTTACCCTGAATTACAATTCTTCTCCTGTTCCTAAATAAACCCATTTTGCTGGTGAAATATCGGGCTGTTTTACTTGTTTAAGTCACCACACTCTTGCTAAAGATTTCGCACTATTCTTAGTAATTAATCTCTCCAGATCATATCTTGTCATATTATAGACACACACGTTCCTTTTGGAACGAAAAACTCCTTTCATTTTTAATCTCTGATTCCAGGTTGAAAACAAAAATTCCTTTGATTTTTAGCAATATGAGCTACTTAGCTCTTATTTGCTTTCATATCTGTTTTACAAATGTACACGCTTATCTTACTTTTCAAGATCAAAATAACAATTAAAATGGTTTCCTAAATAAAACAGCAGTCTCTCCCTAAAGGAATTGTGCCATCCCCCAGAACACAGGAATTAGTGACATTGTTATGATGTCACTTGATATCACATTCATGTTGTCAAACTTCATCTCATCTATACAGGAAAAGATGTATACTTTCGGACACCAAAAAGTGACACATCTATTGTAAATAAAAATGTCATAAGTTATTAAAAGTAAATGATTAAATCAGGACATGACCGAGGTTAGGGTGAGGCCAGAGAATTAGAGTTGTTCAGATCCTGTTCTTATTTAAAATGTTGATGTTTTGTTGATTATGGGTTTTTTAGCCTTAATTTAAATTTCAAAATAATACATTATATTATTTATCTTAATCACAGAAATTTTTAAGCTCTATACCCACAGCAAGTGCTTGTCTCCCCTCACCTTAGTCTTGCCCCCTTATCAGGTGTCTCTGGATAAATGTATTTTTATTCTGCAAGGTCTGTTTCTCTTTGCAATCTGGATTCTCTAGGAAATGCAAGGAATTAATTTGGAGCTAAAGAACAATTACTCAGAAGTAAATTATAGGTAAATTGAGTGAAGAGTTAATGTAGAGAAACACGGAGCCATTTACACATACAGACTACCCTAGCCCAGATGTAGATTTAACTACCAAACTGTCCCAAGGAAGAGACTGCACATGAGGGAAGAATCCCCGTTATTCCCTGGCAGCCTACGGTCTCTTTCTTTTGGCGTTTGGTCCCCTCTCCCTGTGTTCCATGTGTTATTGTCTTCATTTAATCATGCTTTCAACGAGGACTTGTTTCCCCCTGCACCTACTTGCATCGTGTGATGTCCACATGGAGAGAAACACTTTATCCCACTCAGCTTTGCCATCCAACTAATAGTAATTTATGAAGCAGTGTCTCCCTCAACCACCAGCATATAAATGAACAAGATAGAGTCCAGATGCATAGAGATCTTATAGCTCCACAGAGAATGAGAAGCTTATCCCTATGTGCACAAGGCAGGGCTGAGGAAGAAGCCCACACCACAGGAAGTCAGGAAGGGGGGAACATGGAGGAGGAGGGGCTGCTTCCTGTGCGGATCAGCCATGGTTTCCCGAAGGAAGGAGGCAGTGATCGAGTGGCGACAGGATGAATGAGGCACACATCTGAGGGATGATGGGGCGGGTGAGGGCGGGAAGAACAAGGCACAGCTGACAGGACAGCACAGGCAGTGACTGGGGGAGGCCAGGTGACCATCGCCCTGAAGAGCACAGGAGGGTCCCACGTGGTGGCCCTGGTGGTCAGTATGGGGAGTTAAAGGGGATCCTCAAGGAGTCTGGAGATCAGCCTGTGTGATCAAACACCACGCAACCACCACAGTGACCAGGAGGCAAGATTCTTTGTCTTTGAACAAAGCAGTTTAATGTGGGTTAAATTTTACATGTTTTTGTGAAGGTAGCAGTTTCTGACTCCACATCTGTCACAGCAGTTTCTCCGCTTTCTATTACTTCTTTCTGCAGCATTTTGACCCAGGCAAGATACAAGTGCCGATCTGTTTTGACCCTGGAAGGCACTTAGGGGATATGCAGAAGCCTCCATTCTGAGAGCAACTGAACGAAGTTTCTATGCCTGCAGTAAAACCTGAAAAAGAAATAAAAAGGACAAAGTAGTGTCAGAAACCAAAGCACAGAGTCAGAAAGGCACACCTTGAGCAGATGCTCAGGGCTTCCCTTCCCGAGGCTGCGGCTATCCTGTCCCACAGGCTGACGTGCAGTTTCCAGACAGAGGCTAGCAGCGCAGAGGTTCCAGGGGGGCCTCGCGTTTCTAGAAGCAGAACGCTGTGCTCCGCGGCCCAGAGCCTGGGGTCTGCGGAGGGCTCTGTGCAAGTTCGGCTCCCCCACGGAGAGAATCCCTCCAGGGTGTGCGAAGGCAGTTCTCACACTGGCCAGAGGTTTGAGAACCAGAAATAGCCAGCTGCTGTCTGTTTTTATTACTTTGTTTTCGAAACCATGTACTTGATTAAGTGTCTCAGCTGAAATTGGAAAATAAAATGCAGTTTAAAGGGTAGGAATTGTTTAACGAGAGCTTATCTAAGTATCTTACGATCAATAATAACGATGGTTAAAAACACCTTTGTAGTATTGTCTCTAATATCTGAGAACTATCTCATATGTGGTCTGAGTCTCACATGCCTTCGTTCCCTGCCTCTGTCATTTCTGCCTTCTCATCTTCCTCCTATTCCTGTCTCCCTGATTTGTTTTCCCTCCTCCTTCCCTCCCTCCCTACTACTGTTCCAAGTGTTGGAATATTCTTGTGAACAAAATTGATAGAATATTGCAATGTAACTTCTAATTAACAGTTATCTCAGGTCCCAGCCTCACATTTTCTCTCTCCCTCCATCTCTCCATCCCTCTTTCTATCTCTTCCTCTCTCCTTGGTCCTTCCTTTTTGTCTGTTTACATAATGATAAGGATAAAATAAATGTTAGGCATCCAATTTTAACAGCTGCTTCTGTCGGACTGCCTCCCAGTGTGAACTGAGAGTAAGGCTCTCAGGGGTGTGTCCTCGGGGACATTGGAGCTGCTGAGACAGAGGCACAGGGGAGTCCCCAACAGCAGATCCCAAAGCGCAGTCTGGGCTTTGTTGTTCTCTGGGATTCTCCATTAGCCAGAGACTCCACTCTTTAAGTATAAAGATTTATAATGTGACTTTTCTGCACTTCTGTTCTTGGGCAAAATCAAATTACTTGCTTTTATGAAAAAAGAAAAGTCATATAACAGAGGCGTCCTCTGTTATGCAGCAGGTCTGGTATGACAAGCAGCGAGGAGAGGAGATTTACCAGCTGTCTGGCTCCTTCAGATTGGCTGAGAAAAGGTTGTGAACTGTGCCATAAGGTTCGTAAAGTCCTTTCATGTTGAAGGACAAGGTGTCTGGTTCTCATAAGCAATCCATATAATCTATTTGCTCTAAGAATGTGTGGAGAAGAGAGAAGAGGGGGGACAGAGAAAGAGAGAGAGTGAGAGGTAGATGGATAGACAGATGGAGAGGGAGAGAGAAAGAAAGAAAGAGAGAAGGAGAGAGAAAAAGAGAGATAGAGGGAAGGAGAGAGAGAGGTGATGGACAGAGAGAGAAGGAGATAGGCTGAGAAAGAGAGAAGGAAAGAGAGAGAGTAGGAGAGAAGGAAGGAGAGGGAGAGAGAAAATGGAAGAAAGGGAGAGGGAGAGATAAGAGAGAGAGACTCCCTCCTATTCTTCCATTTGTTCAGCCCTGTGTTCCCCTGGCCCACCTTACCTGGAACAGGCAACAGGAAGACAATGAGGAAGGCAAGGAGAAAATGAAGGATCCTCATGCTGATGGCTGGTGAGCTTAACAGCAAGCTGAGTCTGGACAGGGAGCTGAGCCTTGCACCTTATAAAGGTTCCAGGTTGCCAGCAGAATTTAGTATTGACTGCGTGTTTCGTAATTACAGTGACTAACTAGAACGTCTTAGCTGGTGTGTTATGGGAATGGCCTTGAGAGCACAAAGAACACTCAGTCTCCCTCATGCAAATTAGGAGGTGGGAAATCCCAGAAAAGCCTCTCCTGCCTTAGGCACCAGAAACTTCTTGTTTAGTCCAGTTCCTGTGGGGCATCCATGGGGTGAGGGACGGGGTCTGTCTCCGTGTGGGAACGGACTTCCTGGTGCTCGTTTGCCTGCCCCATGGAACTTTCAATCTGTCAATTTAGTTTTTCCTGAGTCTGAGGACAGTCTTGGGCCAAACTAGGAACTAGTTTCTCTAGTTCCATCACCCCTGGACATCTTCAGCTCCTGGGGATGAAGGATGGCTTTCTCAAACCCAGCATGCCTAGAGGCAGTCATGGTTTCTCACAGCACAAGGAGGGCTTTGGGCGCTAACAGAAGATGGACATGGTGGGCCTGACCCTCCCTAGGTTATAACAAGATGGTAACATTCATGTGAAAAATCCCTAAAATTTACCATTACCCCATGTGACAGTGGATGAGGCAAGTAGGGGCTCTGTTTCTCTTTTTTAGAGAAAGAATAGGAGGATGAAATTGTGACTAGACACATGTCCTCAGAGTGTGTGAATCAGAAAGCAAGGATAACACTTGTAGCTTCAGTTTACTCGGTAGCTCAGGCAACACTCAGCTACAGAGCGTCCACACTTTGAGAGCCAGGGGGTTATTTGCTTTTCAGAGATGTCAAAGCCAAGGATCTACATTGCCATTGGGATCTTGTGGAGAAGCACTGAGTGGACTCCAAGTCGCCCACACTCTTTCCCGGCTGTTAGTGGGTCCCAGTTCTGAAGGAGCCCACAGAGTTGCAGGCTTGTGCGAGGTCTCCCAGTGTCAGTAGAACCCTCACTATTGCTCTGAGACGCAGCAAATCAGATGTTGGTCACTGGAAATGCTCAGGGTCCTGTGACCAGTGCTCAGTGGGTAGGGTTTTTCTCAAGGAATATAAATTGCATTAATCCTGGTTTACATACCAGAAGGGACAAGCTAGCTTTCTAGGGTCATTTTTATAAGGGTACTAATCCCATCTAGGTGGGCTACACCCTCATGACTTCATCACCTCCCAAAGGCACCTCCTCCTAACACCATCTCATTGGGCATTAGGTTTTCAATATATGAATTTCAGGGGGAAGAGACATGAACAGTTAGTCCATTGCACCATGTAAGATAACATATTCACAGGTGATAAGGGTTAGGTCATGGACATATTTTGGAGATCATTATTCTGCCTACCACACCTAGTAAAAATAAAACTCAATTGTGCACTAAGCAAATCCTTTGGTCAAAACATTGTCTTTAAGGAGAAACATTTCAATGATCTATAGGTATATCAGATAAAATATAGGATGCTTAGTTAAATTGAAATTTCAGATAAACCATCAATAATCTTTTAGAATATGTATGTCTCAAATATTATAAAGGATATACTATGCCAAAAAATTAGTGATTGTTTATCAGAAAATTACATTTGACTCTGTGTCTTGTATTTTTACTTACTAAGTCCATCAATCCTAGTCATTTTGCATTAATAACAGATATGTGTTTATTCTAAGTTGTCCATCTGTGAGACCAAAAATAAGAAAATAACATTTAAGGTTATTTCAAAGGTCTTTTTGTTTTGTTTTGTTTGTTTTAAGGTATGATTTTTGTGGGATTAGCCCTCAGCTTACATCTGTTGCCAATCTTCCTCTGTTTTTTTCTCTTCTCTCGAAAGCTCCACTACATAGTTGTATATCCAAGTTGTAGGTCCTTCTAGTTCTTGTGTGTGGAACGCCGCCTCAGCATGGCTTGACGAGCAGTGCTAGGTCTGTGTGCAGGGTCCAAACTTGCAAAGCCTGGGCTGCCAAAGCAGAACACAGGAACTTAACCACTATGCCACTGGGTGGGCTGACACAAGTCTCTTTTTACAAGAAGTTCTTAGCTTCCTTGGTGCATCATCACCCAAAATTGGCCCATACTTAGATCCTTTTAGTATTTCTTCAGTGGACTGTCATTATCTTTCTTTGATCGAGTGCTTCACTTGAAATTATTCTTTTTCTTTTTTTTTTTTTTTTGTGGAAGATTAGCCCTGAGCTAACATCTGCTGCCAATCCTCCTCTTTTTTGCTGAGGAAGACTGGCCCTGAGCTAACATCCGTGCCCATCTTCCTCCACTTTATATGTGGGGTGCCTGCCACAGCATGGCTTGACAAGCAGAGCCATGTTTGCACCCGGCATCGAACTAGTGAACCCTGGGCCACCAAAGCAGAAAATGCACACTTAACCACTGCACCACTGGGCCAGCCCTTGAAATTATTCTCTTTAAAGCAGCTACTCCTCTATTTTACATTCATTGAGGGGTGGGTGTTAGGATGAAAAGCCCTATAATACCAAGAGTGCTGGGAGATCTGCAACATAGCTGACAATATCCATTATTGTATAGGTCCTCTTGAGGAATTAGAAGATTTCTAATGGTACTTCAAGACACAGAATACAATATCTGAAATAAAAATCACAGTGGATGGGTTTAACAGCAGATTGTCCAAAGCAGGAGGGGATCTGAGGATTAGAATACACATCAAAGGAAATTTCCAGATCAAAGCGCAGAGAAATAAAATCAAGGAAAATACAGAAAATAGCATAAAATACATATGAGAGCACAGTGAGAGGTGTAATATATATGTAATTCTATTCCCAGGAAGAGAGGAGACAGAGGACACACAGCAGGAATTCTTGAGGAGATAGTGTCTGGAGATGTTCTAAAACCAATGACAGATAATAATCCGCATATTGAAAAAGCTCTGCAAAATACAAACAGGATATAGACAAAGAAAGCTGTACCTGGAGTTATCAGAGAAAAACCCTGTTCCTTGCATGAGTCTGGTTATTTAGTTTACACATAGTTGGAGTAAAGATCATGTCCTGATCTTTTTAGAGTAAGGCAGATGAACTCAATAAAAATCAGGAACTAGCTGCAGGGCTTAACACACTTTCTCTTTTTTTTTTTTCTCATGAGACTTCAGCATAACAGGATAGGTATGATCTTCTACTTTTAAGTCATAATTCAGCAGGTTTAAAGAGTTAGAGTGAGACGGAAGTTGGCTGGGTTGGAAAGCAGTCTGCCAATGCTCCAAATTCCAAGGTTATCCTATGTTTTTGTTTGTTTGCTTGTTTGTTTTGGCGAGGAAGATTGTCGCTGAGCTAACATCTGGGCCAACCTTACTCTATTGTGTCTGAGGAATGCCACCACAGCATGGCGGGATGAGCAGTGCGTTGGTCGGCTCCCAGGATCTGAAACCATGAACCTTGTCCTGCCTAAGTGGAGCATGTGAACTTAAACATTACGCCACCAGGCCAGCCCTGATTTCCTGTTTTTTAAAGATCCAAATTAAGTAACTCCAGCTCCCATCCCTTATAAGTTCAGGTAAATATTCAAATCATTCTCAGGATTCCCAGTTCGTGCTCATGCTCACAAGATTTTGTTCAAACACCTTCTTCCAGCTTTTCCATAACCTTCTCTGGCCAATTTCATCTCACTTCCTGTAGTTACCACCCACTTGCTTCTCTGGGGGATCAAATCCATCTGTCTCAAAATGTGCCTCTTTGTCAGATTTTCCTTTTTACTGTTTTTTTTGTTCCTGAGGAAGACTCACCCTGAGCTAAATCTTCTGCCAAACTTCCTCTTTTTGTATGTGACCTGCCGCCACAGCATAGGCCCTGGTAAATGAGTGGTGTAGCTCCACGTCCACAAACTGAACCCAGGCCACCAAAGGGGAGCGCGTCAAACTTAACCACTAGGCCACAGGCCCTGGCTCTGCCTTGATTATTTTGAAGAACAAGCGACTTTGACCTTCCCCTAACTGCCTAAAAGAATGTAAGATTTCAGGCCTGTTTCAAGAAAGAGCAAGTACCATTAGACAATATTGTCTACAGATGACCCAGCAACACTGGTTTCACAAACATTTGCATTTCCATCTCCATGTAAATTGCCTTCTTCCCCTTGGAAGCACAAAGACACTAACCCCAACATCCTCCTTTGTCTTTAGCTGAAAATGGTATTCAACGGGGTGGCTTGGCCATTCTGCGAATTACTCAGCTTTACTGGGTTTCCCCCATGTATACATGTTATAAAGCATAGTTTGATTTTCTCCTATTGTGTCCCATGTCCATTTAATTCTTAGAGCAGCCAGAAGGATCTAGAAGGAAAAGGGATTGTGTTCCTCCCCTACACTTCATACCTTTGTGCCAAGCACAATTGAGGCTCTCCCCCATTTCCTAAGATTTCACAATCAAAAAGCGATTGAGTGAAAATGTAAAATTTGAAGATAATTGTTTATGGTTACTACATAGAAATGTCCAAAAAAATGAAACTCAGAATACTCTTGTGAAACAGAATGAAAGAAACTTCAATTAAAATGAAGTCAGGGGCTGAAAACTAGACTTTTGGTGGTGAACATGTTTCAGTCTATGCAGAAGCTATAATATACTGATATATATCTGAAATTTATATAATATGATAAACCAATGTGATTAAAGAGAAAGGAAAAAAAAAACAGAAAATGAGGCTAGGGGATCACAAGGGGGAGCTCTTACACACGATTGCTCAACTTCAGTTACAGAAAGAAATATCAGTTACAGACTCAAAAGGAACAGGTGGATATTACATCCCAACAAGGAATGGTCCACCCCAGCACCTCAGCCAATGACAGCTATCACTTCCCTGAACTCTTGCTTTCCACAGTTGGATGTTTGTTCAAAACAACCCCTCTCAACTTCCTCCTTTTTGTCTATAAAGTCTCTATATTTCTCTCTATATAGACTTTATGAACAATATATTTCTCTCTTTTGTTTGCTGGACTTGCTTACGGCTTTTTGCTATAGCTTGCTTACCCT